CACTTTAAGGTTAACTAAGGATAGACGATTGTGTTCATGAAATAGAAATTGAATAACGAATAATTCCAGCCAAATCTTTGACGGTGTCTTGGGAAAAAACTTAGTCGTTATGTAATATTTTGTGGACCGTTGTTCGTCATTCATGGTGTCTATTCTTTTTTGATTGTCCTCATTGTACCTTATTTTCTAATTGCAGATTACATAACTTAAACGTTTCTTTTGCATCGTATAGTGGACAAACCCAAGTAATATAAATAGAACCATACAAATAGTACATGCATGCAAGTTCTCAGATATCATCTCCCATATTAAAATCACATCATGCAGAAATGCACCTAATAAATTCCTCTCCTAATTTTGAGTTTTTGCTCCTATCCAAAATCAAAGTTGTGGAACATATTTTATCATAATCATTTAGTAATCCATGCAATTAGTGTCTCCTCCATGACAGTTTTGAACATTAAAACTAAATATCAAATAAACGACACTGCCTTTTTTTTAGTGTTTGGTACAGGTTGGCTGTCACTGTGCAACACAGTTTAACATAAAACTCTATGGAAAATACAGAGAAATCTTTGTGTCAGAAAACACTGTCAAACATCCAAACATACTATCCACACTGATCTGTGTCCACACATGTTACCTAGAGAGAATATTACAAACCGAGGTAAAGAGGGAACAACCTGCTCTACCCCCTCTCAGCTATGTGTTAATAACATTATCATATTGAATATTCTGTTATTATCATCATTTGAATTATTCATTTGTGATCGCTCTACACGAATGGGTGTCACCCGCTGAACCTTGTGTTTTACCAATCAAAATCTGGCATTTTAACACCTTGTATAATAATATATCATATGTCCATCTCCATATGTGTTTTTTTTTGTTGTTGTATTCCTGCTACATTGAAGCGAAACATTTTTATTGTTGGTATAACAACAAGTTTTTTCACATTAGCATATTTCAATGTGATATTTCTTTAAGAAATTGCGAGCATTCTTCGATGTTTTATTGCCAACATAAAAAAAAGAGAAAGAAGACACAAAAGGGACAATAAATAATCAGAAGACACAAAAGGGACAATAAATAATCAGAAGACACAAAAGGGACAATAAATATAATCAGAAGACACAATGGAACACTAAATAATCAGAAGACACAAAAGGGACAATAAATAATCAGAAGACACAATACGGACAATAAATAATCAGAAGACACAAAAGGGAAATAAATGATCAGAAGACACAAAAGGGACAATACATAATCAGAAGAAACAAAAGGGACAATAAATAATCAGAAGACACAATAGGGACAATAAATAATCAGAAGACACAAAAGGGAAATAAATAATCAGAAGACACAAAAGGGACAATAAATAATCAGAAGACACAAAAGGGACAATAAATATAATCAGAAGACACAATGGAACACTAAATAATCAGAAGACACAAAAGGGACAAAAAATAATCAGAAGACACAATAGGGACAATAAATAATCAGAAGACACAAAAGGGAAATAAATGATCAGAAGACACAAAAGGGACAATACATAATCAGAAGAAACAAAAGGGACAATAAATAATCAAAAGACACAATAGGGACAATAAATAATCAGAAGACACAAAAGGGAAATAAATAATCAGAAGACACAAAAGGGACAATAAATATAATCAGAAGACACAATGGAACACTAAATAATCAGAAGACTCAAAAGGGACAATAAATAATCAGAAGACACAATAGGGACAATAAATAATCAGAAGACACAAAAGGGAAATAAATGATCAGAAGACACAAAAGGGACAATACATAATCAGAAGAAACAAAAGGGACAATAAATAATCAGAAGACACAATAGGGACAATAAATAATCAGAAGACACAAAAGGGAAATAAATAATCAGAAGACACAAAAAGGACAATAAATAATCAGAAGACACAAAAGGGACAATAAATAATCAGAAGACACAAAAGGGACAATAAATAATCACAAGTCCAAGAAAAACCGACAATACCATACGAAGTCAAGATTTCTGGACCATGATGTTTGTCGTTGTTTTGTAAATCTCATTTTTCGGACAGAGGAGTCGGGTGTTTGTGATTGGAGTGGTTTATTGTACTGTCCATATTTTTGGTAACATAGCCTTTCATTTATCCCTTTTATGCGTTATGTATTTTTTATTGTTATGAAATGCATGTTTTCTTATCTATGTTACCGTTTTCATAGATTTTAATGCTTTTTCTGTATCCATTACGGCTGTTTTTGTGCCTCGAGGCTGGGAAATAATATATGACATTAGTATAATAGTCCAAGCTCAAGGTTTCTCTCTCCTAGACGCATGCCTGCTTCCAAGCTCACTTCATTCATATATAATCACTCATTTTATTAAGAGGTTTGTAACAGAGCAAAGAAAAACTGAAAACTTGAATAAAGCTTCATTTGATGTACAAAAGGCCATTGAATATACGAGAAGTTATTGCAACAATAGTATACAAATATAACTATACACATAAAGGAACACGTATGAACTTTGCAGCCAAGCTTTCAGTAGCATGTAAAACTTCATTTGTGATCGTCGTTTCCCCTATTTACGGTGACCACTCTTCAAATACAGTACTTCTTTTTATTATTCATGCAGAACTGACATCACTGTTTCTGAAATGGCTCAATTTTCAAGAAAATGAATTAAGGATTAGTTGTTATTGGCTTTGAACTAGCTGTCAGTAACTGTGAGTACTCTCAGATCTGTACTTAGTGTAATTTTTGTTGTGGGGATATATAAATACCCTGCCACGTCCAGTCTGTGTTTTTGTTAGATGTATTTCTGCTTCGTATCAATCTGATGAGTTAAACCCTTTTCAACTGATTTTTATAGTTTGTTCTTATGTTGTACTGTTACACCACTGTCCCAGTTTAGGGGGAGGGTTGGCGCCTTCAAACTAGTTTTACACCGCCACATTCTGCATGTGCCTATCCCAAGTCAGGAGCCTGTAATTCGGTGATTGTCATTTTTTGCTGTAGATTATATGTGTTTTTATTCATTATTTTGTACATAAATTCTCGTTTCAATTGTTTTACCTTTGTCATTTCGTGGCCTTTTATAGCTGACTATGCGGTTTGGGTTTTGCTCATTGTTGAAGGCCGTACGGTGACCTATAGGTGTTTATTTCTATTTCATTTGGTCTCTTGTGGAGAGTTGTCTTACTGGCAATCATACCACATCTTATTTTTATAGTTATCAAAATGTGAATGTTTGAGAAAATTTGTTCAAACTAACCATGTTTATTTTACAATTTTTGAGTGTTCCAATTGTGAACTTCACATTTCATTGTAGCAACATTAAGGAGCTCTTGCAAGTGTATACATCTCCCAACTGATATGATATTCATGCTGGGTTTACGTTTTGTATGATGTTCTTGATAGAGGTTTACTGCTTACAAGGAATCGATTGCATCAAGGTTTCAAGATGGTAAAATTGAAAGGATCCCTTCGACAGTTTAATGGACACCATCACCATATGATTCACAAATTTTATAAAATATTTGTTTAACAGATTACAACGAATTTGTCCTCTTTTCTTTGATTGTAGCATTACAAAACGTGACTTATCATCGTATGTTTACTTGTAATGAGGAACAAGATGGTGCAACTAGTTTTTCATTACCATACTAATGCAATATTCCTTTCTCATAGTATTGTATACACTTATATTCATTTGTAACTTAGTGCTATGTTTTTAAAAATGTCTCCTTTGAAGTGTCATTGTTTTTATGTCCTTGTGATCTAAATTTACATTAAAAAGAGTGGACACAACACTTGCATAAATGTTATTACTGTTTTACTACTGCTATATGATGTTTAATATGTTATAATTTTTGCATTGTGTATATATTTGTATTGTATTGTTTATATGCCTTCAACCCCTCGGGGTATAAATGTGCATTTCATTAATAAACAATTAAAGAGACCGTACTGACATATTTCAGCTATGCTGCTACCTGAGCCTGCCTCCATATATAGGAGTGAAGACTCATTCTCCATGTTAACGTAATTAACGTAATTCATTCATGATCATTCATCCATAAAGGGTGAATCTTTAGTTTATCATAAAGTGTTATTTGGCCTGTCTCGCTGGGCTCTACGGTTACCACAAGGGCTAATACAAGCTATGCTTAGTGTCAAGTGCCTTTACCTTCCTACTAGGTGTCAATCCCTGCTGACCTCCCTTCGGATCCCTCGGTGCTGTACCAGTACCCTCACGACAGGCTGGGGAAACCCCCTTGTACTACAGGGCAATTACACAACAATCATAAGATAAAATTAGGTTATCTAATTTCAGCCCTGAGAGAACAACAATAACGACCACAATTTTTTTTTATCAAGATTCAAACCAACAAACCCTTTCCTCTTAATTGAAGTGGGCTCCCAAATTTCGCCTAAGTCATGTCAATGATTGCTGTTGATAACAAAAAAATATGAAGTTTACATCTTTATTAATCTAAATCAAATAACGATGAAACTTACACTTGGGAGTCTGATTCTCAGCTATAGGAAATTTAACTCCAGGCCCTAAAGACAATCTTGGTCAAACCCTCGGCCATGGACAGGAAACTTCGTCAAATCACCGGATTGATGTTGCTAAAAGATGATAAAACGATGCTTCGTCTTGCAGCAGGAGGCTAGGATAAGACGGGGATGAATTGACGGTGGAGAAAGAATTATATGAATTTGATTACTTGCGGACATAAGAAATTAGACAAGTGTTTAATTTTATAAGGATCTAAACACTCGAGTGCTAAGCAGCTTAGTGACCTTCAAGGAATTGTATTTTGAAAGTAGGGAGTATGGAAATAAGACCTGTAAACCCTCCATGACCAAGAAATAGAACTCTGTTTACATAATATTTATATGAACAATAGTGATATTTAAATTAGAATTTGAATAAAGTTAAAAGAGCAGAAGAATGAGAAGCATGCAATTATCAAAATAAACAATAATTATTTACAATATTTTCTTTAATGCAGACAAAACAAATAATTAAAATGCTAGGTACATAAGAGTATGTAATATGTCATATTAAACAAAAAACACATGTTTCTTCAATTAGAGATAAAATCAATATTTACAGATGGTCCTGATCTGTGTCTTAGCTCAGACTCATCAACAAACTAACAAATAATAAAAATACATACATAAGTGAATAATAAACAAAAGGCTCCCAAGAGCCTGAATCTCTCACCTGCATATAATATTTATTTTACTTTTATTGCAATCAAGTATTTTGTTTACTCGTAAATATTATTCAGTGGCATTTTCGTAGATCTAGTATTTATGATCATTTTTACTGTTACAGTTTAGACTTCTCTATTAAAGTTTTTGAAATAATTAGCAAAATTATAGGAATTAGTGAAAAAAAAAATGCTCCATTTATGGGCAATAAATACTTGTAGATCTTATTTTGCTGATATGTTTTGCTTTGAAAGTCTCTCTTTCTCTATCCACTATAGTTTTTTTTCACAAAAATGCAAACAAAAGGGTAAAAGTTATCATTCAGGGGAAATAAGCTATATGAGGGGTGGTTTGACATAAAGGCCACGTTGAATTATTTGTAGATCTCATTATGCTTAACTTCATTGACAATCACAGTTTCTCTCTATCTATTATGATTCTGCAAAAAAAAAAGCAAAAAATGGGTAAAAACCGTCGTTTAAGGTAGTATGGGTGTCGTTCGCCATCTTGGATTGTAAAAAACAGAGAACTGCCTAAGGTCCAAATTTTCAATCAAGTTAGCAAAATCTGATGCAGGAATGCAGATAACTAATGTGAATGATCATTTAAAAGAACAAATTTATAAGATTTTAACTCATAAATATTAATATTTTTACAAGCGTAGATTATTTTTGCTTGATTTTTAATGTTTTTAAATTGGCATTTTAAGGGGAAGTAACTCTGAAATAGTTCATTTTCTGAAGGAATCTACATGAAATTTTGCTATTTTGTATTTTAGGCGGAAAAACGTACGGTGAACCTATCTTTTCTTTTGATATTCCCAAAGCATTTTCTAAAAGCTATCTTCCGGTTTCTATTTTACATAACGATGCTTTTTCCTGTATAATCCATACAAAATGTGTCATTTTGTCACAACCTGTAGCTTGAAAAAATGCTCGGTGACCTATCAGTTTTATTATAGTTTTGAACATATATCAATATGTACTACGTTTTGGCAAAGTATGAACAAATTCTATCATTTTTAATTTATACTAATATTATTACTCCCATACCACCTTAAGTGAAATTACTCGTATAAGGAGTCGGATTACAAGATCTGCCATGTTGACTTATTTGTAGATCTTATTTTGCTGAACATTTTTGCTTATCATAATTTCACTCTGTCTATAATAATGTTTGCAAATTGAGAAAAAAAAATTTCTTTTAAAGGCAATAACTCCTATAGATTAGGGATTAGGGATATATTGATGATTTCGTTCACTGTTGACTTATTTGTAGATCTAATTTTTCTGAACATTTTTACTACTAAAAGATTCTCTCTATCTACTATAGTTTCTGCAAAAATTGCCAAAATGTGTAAACATTTTCATTCAAAAGCAACATCTCCTATAAAGGGGTCAATTGACGATTTCTGCCAAATCACTTATTTGAAGATCTTATTGTCCTGGTTATTTTTGCTGTTCAGAATTTCTCTTCATCTGTTGGACGCCAAGTGATGGAAAAAAGCTCACATGGCCTTTGAGGCTAGGTGAGCTAAAATATAACTGATAAACATGTAAAAAGAGGATTAATATTTACAGAAGACAGTGTTATATGACCTACTACAAGCACATCAGCAGATTCTCAAGTTACTTTATCATAATCGTAATTACAAGATACCTTGTGGTAAAATTAAAATGACCTGACAATTGTTGTAATTCCCTCTATGCACAAGAAGATTTTGAGGATATTTTGAAAATAAACTCACAAGTTCTTTGCACCTTTACTATAGGTAGCAATTTTAGATACCATTTTTGTTGTATCTAAAATAATTCCTAAATATTAAAAACAGGTTCCTTCAATTATTTTTTTGCTAATGGTATATTTAATAGTTCAAAAATTGTTGCAACTATAGCCATATTTCTCTCACCAACCTCAGTAGGATTGTGAATAGTAAGAAATTCATCTAATAAATGAAAATTATTTTTGACCTATTAGTTATTCACTGCAAAGTCACAAACAGCTTGAGAAACATTATCATAAAATTTTGGACTAGACAGACAGCCAGGTCAGTAGTCGATAAAATATAATAACCTTTGTTTCCTAAAAAATAAAGTGTTTCCAATTCGTGAGGTCAACCTAATTGATTTTGACTTTCAAAATGACATTCATAATCACAGAAAATCCTAATCAATAAATAGTATCATTAAGGTATTACACAAATATTGTGAAAACAATTCATTAAACTGTAGATTTTTATTTAAAGTTTACTACACATTCTTCAGATGAGATTATAATATGGAAGTTGTTTTGACTACATGTATTTTCAATTAATTTTGTACTGCTCTCGTAGAAATTTCATTCCACCAGATTGTGTTTGCTGGAGAGCTTTCATTAATTTGAGTACTGATGGCCTTGATTTGCTTGATTGTTTCCATTTTTTTAGAATGTCATATAACTGTTCGTACATGTCCTTAGGATATCTGTACATGGTTTCTTCAATACTGGAAAAGCTTATTCCTAATTCCAATCCAAGTTGAATAATGCAGTTTCCCAATTCCCGAGGCAACATTTTCAGATCTTCGTCTGAAGGGATTTTTTGTAATTTACTACTGGCAATGTCTTTAAAATAAAAGTAAATAGTAATTGGTAAATAGTGATTAAACTGTGTGTGCGGAATGCTTTAGTACTCAATGTACGCGGTTACCATCTAATTATAATTTGAAATCATAAAGAAATTCAAAATTAAGATAGATTTGAGGATATTTGTATACCATGTAACCGAGTTTTTCAATCATTGAACCATGCATTTGGTCACATCAAATATTAAAATACTATCATTCAGGTCAGCATTATTTACAATTAGTTAACCATGCACAGTTCAATAATAAATATCGGTATATATGAAGTCAAATAATGAACAGTACCAGTAATATCATCTTAAACAAGCATTCTGAGAGTATTGCATAGCAATACATAGTCCCCTACCGGTTAAAAATTCATTGTACAGGAAGAAAATGCTAACCTGATCTATAACTTGTCATGGTGTAAACTATATATCAAATATCAAGTCAATATCTTCAAGCATGACGAAAAAAAGTGTGGAAAAACTGACTATTTATGTGAATTTTCTATGTCCAAGGACCATAACTCTGCACAAAATCATCAGACCGAAACAAAATTCGAACTCAATCTGTAACTTGTCATGATAAAACTATATTACAATTATCAAATCAATATATGTAAGCATGACGAAAAAAAGTGAGGAAAACTGATTATTTGAGTGAATTTTCTAAGTCCAAGGACCATAACTCTGCACAAAATCATCAGACGGGAACAAAATTCGAACTTGATCTGTAACTTGTCATGACAAAACAATACACCAAATATCAAATCAATAACTTTATGGACAAAGAAAACAAGTTTGGAAAACTGATTTGCCGGACTGACGGATGGACAGACAGACAGACGGAGTGCAAACCTATAGTCCCCTTCGACTTCGTCGGTAGTGGACAAATTAAGGAATATAGCTCTATCATGCAGAGCTCCGATTCCTTTTCCACATTTGACTTTTTGGTTTGAACAGCTCTTTCAATATTTTATTATTAGGTTTTGGATTTTCAAATATTTTGGCCATCATCATCACTGAAGACATTATTAATTAAAATGTGCGTCTCGTGCAGTAAAATTAATACACTTTTATATCAGTACAAGTAAAAATACAATGCTCCACAGGGCGTATCTCGCTACGACTGCAGAGGTCAAAGCCTGAACAGTTAGGGCAAGTATGGACACAACATTCAAGCTGGATACAGCTTTGAATTTGGATTGTGATTAGATATTTGACACAGCATAGGTTTCTGAGAAAGAATGAATGTACGTGGTCTAAGAAAATTTTACATTTTGACAATTACCTATTATGGTCCAATATCCAAAATCTAAATACATGGTTAGAATCAGCATGTCAAAGAACCCCAACAATTCAATATTTGATAAAATCAAACAAAAGTTTAATTTTGGACCACCTGGAACTCCATGTGGACCAATTTGAAAACGGACCCAAAATATAAAATCTAAATACACAGTTAGATTCAACATATCTAAGAACCCCATTTATTCAATGTTATAGGGATTCATTGACTTATACTAAAGTATTGTCTGGAAACAAAATGTCTTCGGGTGACAACATTGTCAGTCCATAATAAGGCTGCAAAAATTTTGCGATCGTAAAAAAAATGTCCTAAACTTTAACGTATGCTGAGAAATCAAAGTTCACAGATAATTTCGGTAAAACACTTTTTTTATGAATATAAATTATTGTCAAATAAGTTTAATTTCAATGAATGAATTCTCTTGGATTTTTTTGTGTGTGCATCTCATTCTTAAAATCCCATAACCTGTATTGTTTTGATTGTTAGGCTCTAAATTTCACATACCTATGAAATCAGTGTTTTCTCTGAATATCTGTAACGTAAAATTTCTATTATTGGATGGATATTCATGTTATATGTTAAAACAAAATAAAAGTTGTGATGGTAAGCTAAGTGTAGTTCTATATTAGGAATGATATTTGAACCCCTAAAGTAAATGAAGGACCGACATTTATTGCTCCGGTCCTTGATGTTGGCGGTTTCAATTTAGAACAGAAAGAATGTCGGCTGAAAAAGTCACTGCATTTATTCCTTTTCTTCTTTTTCTATCCAAAATATTTCAGTCATATGAGTCTTTAAGATGTGAATGGTGTCATTAAATAATGTTGTTCATTATCATGAAATTGTTGTACAAAGAATAGAAAAAGGACGTTGATTAAAGAAGCAAAGATTTGGATGTCGATTTGAGAAACTAAAAAGAAATTCGATGAGAGGCACATAGAATCAGCTGTCATTGTGGAATCTTACTTTACTAAGATGTCAGATGGGCGTCTTTCTGAATCCAACATATATTACATAGTAGGAGTAGCTCTTGTTTAATTTGACATTCATCTTATTCATGTGAGACAATATCCAATATTTTCCCCAAGTATGACTGAGATATAGATATTTATCACATAGACTTCCTACGGTCTGACAGAAAACCTCTTTGTAATTTGTGTTGTCCGCTTGACTGTGCCGGAAAATTACCTGGTAGTCACGTAGGTGGCCTATTGTAAGTAAACATTTCTGCCTTACCTAAATTTCCAGTGGCAGTCTAAATTACTTGCCCTTTTTTCCAGGCAGCCTACATGTATCTTGCAAAACATACTCATATTAATTGTTAATTTGTTCTCGTCTTGACTATGTTTTCTTTTAATCTTAAATCATATTCAGATTTTGTAATATATCTCATATTGAACTTTAAGTCTTTAACACAGCGAGAAAATCCCACACCCGGAGGTACAAGACAAACAAACGCCAGAGGCTCCTGACTTGGGACAGGCACATACATGCGGTGGGGTTAAACCAGTTTTGTGGGATCTCAACCCTCCCCTATACCTCCAGCCAATGTAGAATAAACAGAATTTTGTGAGTATTGCATGGCAATACAAAGTCCCCTTCCGGTTAAAAAATCATTGTATTGGAACAAAATTCTAACTTGATTTGTAACTAGTCATGATAAAACTATATACCAATTTTATAAATCAATGTCTTCAAGCATGACGAAAAAAAGTGCGGAAAACTGATTATTTGAGTGAATTTTCCAAGGACCATAACTCTGCACAAAATCATTAGACGGAAATAAAATTCAAACTTGAACTGTAACTTGTCATGATAGAACTATATACCAATTATCGAATCAATATCTTCAAGAATGACAAAAAAAAAGTACAGAAAACTGATTTTTTTTTGTGAGTTTTCCAAGTCAAAGAACCATAACTCTGCACAAAATCGTCAAACCGGAATAAAATTCAAACTTGGTCTGTAACTTGTCAATATAAAGCAATACACCAAATATCAAATCAATATCTTCAAGCATGAAGAAAAAAAGTGTGGAAAACTGATTTGCCGGACTGACGGACAGACAGACGGACGGAATGCAAGCCTAAAGTCCCCTTCGACTTCGTTGGTAGGGGACTTACAAACATAATTATATTAATTGAATTAATTTAAATTAAAGTTCAATTGTATTAAGTATAGCATGCTTAGTTTGATACCAAATTTCAGGAACTCTCTGATTTGTATTTGAGAAAATTGTGCCCTACATTTTATAAAACAGACATATCAACGTAACATCAGTTTACCCCTCCTTTGTAAACAGTGGTATAATGAATTACCGTAGAACTTGAATGTCATATGCAAACAATTTGTTATGTAACCAAAAATGTTTCCACAATTTATAATTAACACTACAGTTTTATTCAATACATCAATAGATAACTTAAATTCACTTAATAATAAAATTGAGAATGGAAATGGGGAATATGTCAAAGAGACAACAACCCGACCAAAGAGCAGACTTAATTATTTGTTCCTTTAAAATTACACTAGAACATACCCGCGGGGATTTATAGCGAGGTAGAAATTATGTGAACAGTTGCAAGATGAATTTATGTAAAAGATTTTATGACTTGAGAATTTCAGGAAAGGTATCAAAAGTCATAGGTACTTGGGGACAGGACAAATTTTTTATTAGCCCTCACCCTTTTTTTCCAAAATCCGTTATTTTTTTCTATTAATTTCAATTATTTCCGCATTTTTCTGTATACTATGAACATACATATACTCAGGATAAATAAAGTGTATTTGCTATTTGCTATCAATTCCAAGTTTACTATCCATTGCAATCACTAATATAGAGACTCTATATATAATATATCAGTGACCGCCGTAGAAAATAATTGAAATTTATAGAAAACAAAAAAATAACGGATTTTGGAAAAAAGAGGGAGGGCTAAACAAAAATTGTCCTGTCCCCCAAGTACATAGTCCTAAACGGAAGTCTTGTCTATGACTTAAAAGTCCGTCCGATGACGGAAACAATATCCGGACGCCTTTATTTTCGTTTTTCTCCCAAAATAACCCAAACGGAATAATCATAATCGATAATGACAAATGCGACTATGCATGGTACCTATAGGACACAGAGGCATGCCGATTAATTCATTATGGAAGGAAGAGAAGCGACACACAAAATGAGGTCTTCTTATATAATAGTATAGATATGACCATGCAGTATACAAGTCTGTTATATGAAGGTTTTACTGCAAGTATCACATAAATCAAATATAAATCAATGATCAATGTAAACAAGGTCAAGGTCAGATCAAACCTTGCAGACAGTTGTGTAAACCTTACATTCATACCATTCACTAAATATAGCTAGGTAGCCTATTGATTATAGTTTCTGAAGTCAGACGAAGCCAGTCAAACAGTCATGTACACCTTACAATCATTCCATACACCAAACATAGTGGCTCTTTTGCTTTTGCTTATAGAATCAAACAAATAGACAAAATCAGAACAAAATAACATGTACTCCTTTTACTCCATTTAATCTATATACCACATAGTTGACCTACTGCTTTTAGTTCCTGAGAAACGATGTAACCTTGATCACTTATTTTGAAATGAGGTCGAGGTCACGTGAACCCTGTCAGACACACATGAAGACGTTGCAAGGAACCAATACACCAATGTAGTAATCCTGTTTTTCAGAATAAGTGAGAAAATCACATGACAAGAAACTATTCATGTTGTAAAGCAGTCACTGAGCCATGAAAATGAGGTCAAAGATGATAGACCTATGACAGATGGAAACACATATACATATTTAACACTGCTGTTGCCAGTTTGTAATCTCTATGTCTCACATTCTTCAACTTTCATAGCAGGTGAGACAAAAAGCATAATAAATGTAATCTTACCTGACAAAGGGAATGAGACATATTCATTCTTTCAAAAGCATCTGAAAAATCTTTGAATTTCACTGTTTGGAATTTGCTTTCCCTTTTTGTTTGAAGCTTATACATGGCCATCAGTTTTGAACCCAAAGGTCCATTCTTATGGTAATAATGTTCTATTTCTTCCCATTCAGCTGTTGTTAAACCAAGATTGGTAATGAACGCGAAAAAATTGTTTATATGGATTTTGTTTGCTATCCGCACCAGATGCTGGTCATTTGGACTTAGATGCAAAGTTTCTTCTTCTAGACCTAAAGTAGAAAATGTTGATTTGTTCTCATTTATCAAAACCTTGTTTTTAATTGATGATGTAGTTGAGATTAATGTTGAAATTAAACAGTAGTATCTATTAAGTATGCATGCTTTCTGCAAAAACATGCATGTTAAAACGTTTAAACCCGCTGCATTTATTTGCACCTGTCCAAAGTCAGGAATCTGATGTTCAGTAGTTGTCGTTTGTTGATGTGGTTCATAAGTGTTTCTCGTTTTTTATATAGATTAGACCGTTGGTTTTCCCGTTTGAATGGTTTAACACATGTCATTTTTGGGGTCCTTTATAGCTTACTCTTCGGTGTGAGCCAAGGCTCCGTGTTGAAGACCGTACTTTGACCTATAATGGTTTACTTTTACAAATTGTGACTTGGATGAGAGAGTTGTCTCATTGGCACTCATAACAAATCTTCCTATATCTATGTGTACTTTCTGTTTGTTTAAGAAATCTAAAGACGTTTTCATCTGTATTATTAATAAACTGTTGACATAGAGATATGTCTCGCATCTTGTAATTGTGATGGTATAATGCAAATGTTGAAATTAAAATGTCAATATTTATTCATGTAAACAATGCTATTCATTCAAAGTCAATGAACCATAACTAAAGGTGCAAGGCCAAATAACACAACGAATAACCTCCATGGAAATATGAATGGCAATGCCTTTTAAACTGCGTACCAAATACCATTGACTTATCATAAGTGGTTGCATTTAAACTAAATTTAACTTAAAACTTTAACTTGGAAACTATGTAAACGTTCCTAAATCAAAGAACCATGATGAGTTGTTGGGGCCATATAATCTCAATGGAAATCCGACTTTCAAATGCCTTTACAACTACATACTAAATATCATTGATCGAACATTAGTCCTTTATCTTAAACTGATCTATTCACAAATTTTAACATGTAAATAATGCAAAACATCATCATCATGTTCATCGAAATGTGCCAATGTTAATACATCTGCATACCAACTATCTCTGACATACCGCTAATAGTTCCCATTAAACTGACCTAATCAAAAACTAATTCATGTAAACTAAGATAAAGTTTCAAAATCAATATAAGGGGTTGGGTCAAATAATCTCCATGGAAATGAAATGTGCCAATGCTTACATTACATCTGCATACCAAATATCATTGACCTCCCATTAGTGGCACCCACAAAACTTGACCTAATCACAAACTAATTCCACTGCTAGAAACAGCTCAGCTTATTAGTCATGTTTTTTCAATTTTGTTGACTTGAGACAAAAATATATTGCACAAAACATATAATTATTGCAATTGAACTGCATGTGATTACTCTTATTACTCATCTTTTTTTTCTTAATATAAAAATATTAAAATAATTACATGTAGAAATAAAAGCTCTTTGGTGATAAGGAATGCAAAGCAAACAAATAAATAGCATAAATATACACTTTATAAATTTCAGTTTATTAGATTCAATCAATTTCTTATGTTATTTAATGAAATAAAAGCGTAAAGGAAATTATTGTATTGCTTACCTTTGCACTCCGAGCTGCAAGCAGCGTTCGTTTGCTTGGCAAAAAAAAGTTATGCATTATGTATAGATCATGTGTTGAAATTCAAAGCATAATGCAATAACATTATATCAAGAAAACATTTTATTTTAAAGTAACAGGAAGCAAAAGTCTATAAACAAAGTAAAATCATGCATGGTTTACTTTTACAAATTGAGACTTGGATGGAGGTCTCGAGTTGTCTCATTGGCACCCATACCACATCTTCTTATACCTATTCATACAGTATGTATATAACCCAACTCGTTTGTCTATGCTCATGTCTTTAGTGAGGCTTTAGATGTCAATGAACGTAATCTATGTTCAACTGGTAAACTGTCAATTCAGGGATTACCTCAATCTTTTATTAAATTCTTTCATAGTTACAAAAATTTGCAGTTTGGCTGTATCTTATATAGAATATTTGTTGATAACCGGATAGCACATCCTAATTTATAACAGAAATGTTGCTTTATGAAAATTTATGGTCCTTCATTCTGTCGATATCAAATACTTGTATTTCGGCCTTGAACTAGGTCACACATTTTTAAGTCTAGTCATTTCCATAAATGAAAACAACATTTTATTAATTTCATGTGTAGAAGCATTTTTCTGGATTTACCTTCACCAGGAATGCTCAAGGTCATACATCAGGTCATTGTTTTTTTTTTTTTTGTTTGAATCCTTCGCATTTTGTCTGATGGGGGCCTTTTACAGCTGAATATATGTTTTGCTCATTGTTGTAGGCCATACAGTGACCTACAGTTGATTAAATGTTTGATTTGGACTTTAGTTTTTGTATTTGTAATCCCACCATATCTCCTTAGCTAATACTGGATTCATTTATTTTTGTGTGAATCAATTTTTCTTGATTGAGAAACACTGACATTTTCGAGGATATTTGATTTTGTGGTTTTCCAAAGTCGCCATGTATTCATATAGAAATTTTTTCACTTTTAAATTCATGGTTTCCCTTTTCCTACAAAATCCACGAACATTGATATCCAACACTTTATAAATTTCATGCATCAGAAGCGCTTTTCTGGATTCAACTTCATCAGGAATACTTAAAGCCAAATATTTGAGGGCCAAGGATGTATAAGTACTGAAACAGTTAAAGAGCTATATGACAACAAAAGACCTAAAATAATAGGCAAATCCATCATTTGCCTCGACTTGATTAATGAATGATATTGGTACCTTGTGGTTAATTTAGTTATGTTTTTTCCTGCGATACTCCATTACCTTTTCAAATATCCAGTATAAACAGTACGTCTTGTCATGCTCGATCGGATTATGTTCACAAACCCAACTCTCTTTACTTTTGGCGCATGCAAGTGATACTAAACAAGGCTCCTGGTTATATATACATCCTACTTCTATTTCAAAAAGACTGACTTCGTAAATCTTTAATGATGTCTGTCCAAAGCATTCCTTATAAAAATGTAAAACCCTTTGTAAAGCTGACGTCATGCATTCTTGAATACTTGCTGCTACATCTGGTGATATAAAACTCCTGGAATTCTTGTTCGTCAAATAGAGTATTAACCTTTGATCTTTGATTACAATTAAGAGTTCATTGTTGTCATCAATGTTTAGAATAGCTGATTGGAAAAAAAGACAAGGGCGTCCATCAATTTCTTTCAAAGGCCATATATTAACTGCTGCAGCGATGAGCTTAAAAGTCAATGCCGACGGAATAGCACATTCTTTCAAGTAATAAGACAGGCATATGGTTTTCTGTTCTTCACAGGGACAAAGCTTGCCTGGTAATCTAGTGTTGACAACGCTTGGTACCATATATAAGGGATCACTTGTTTCAACTCTGTTTTCATGTTTTGGCTGGACAAGTATATCAAGATGTACAAGAATATTGACAATGTACTCCTTGTACTGATCAGTTGGCAGATAAACATCAAACGGTGACTGGGACCAAAGTTTAAACAACTGTAGTTTTTTAACTGTACCAGTGTTTGCAGTGTTTTCTAAGATGCTTCTCAAATCTTGTTGTTCTGGCCAAAACATTTGGTTAGTTATAAATGACCTTAAAATATTCACCATTACTGTAGGCTGTACAACTATGAAATTGTCGAGCCCTTGAATATTGAAATATAGAATTTTTCCAAGAGAATGTTGGATTCTTAAAAATTTATCAATCAAATATTCGGGCAGTGAAAATTCATCGTTTAATCTGTTTAATTCTTGAATTGTTTCCTTTGGTATAACACTGAAATTGTTTGTACGCATTTCAGAAATTTGAAGTTCAAGTGGAACCCATGAAATTGGCATTCGTTGTCCCCATGTTGATTGTTTGAAAGCAATATCTACCAATTTCTCTTTCAGATGCTCTATTTGTGGATCTTCTGAGTTGGTTGCGTTGATGAAAAATACTCTGTCGTACAAAATGTGTCTATTTTTAACATGGGTTGAAAATAGTTTAGCAAGTTCAAGTGTGAATGTTCTTTCTTTAGCTAACATTGCATCCTAAAACAAGAAGACACATGATAAAGTTTGTTTAACATATTAAGCAGGTGTATTAAATCCTAATTTAACTTTATCATTAAAAAGTATTACTATAAATTCAGAAATTATTGCGAGGTTTTTATTTAAGCGAATAATGCGACTGGGTGAGTATCGCGATAATAAGAACTCGCATTCTGATATCTGATACATATAACTGTATGCAGATTTTCATGAAATAGCAATAATGAATCTCGCATTTTTGTCCATTCCTCAAAGATCGCAATAACAAATACATGCAATAATTTCTGAATTTACAGTATATTTGGTATAATAAAATAAGTTTTTGTTACGTTATATGTTACAATTTTAGAAAACATTTTTTTTTGTATTTGTCTTTTAGCTTTTCTTTTTCATTGCAACTTAATAACTATTGCAGGCAAAAGAAAATAATTAAACTTATTAAAGGGGCACTAGCTTCGAGAAATTAAAAAAAAAAAAAAAATATGATTTTTTTTGTGTAATCATTAATGAAAGTGAAAAAGTAAAATAATATTTATTTCTGGATACTTTCTTATAATCATAAACAAGCTTCTGTCTAAGTTTGGTAGAAATCCAGGATAGTTTAGGAAAGTTATTAAAATTTTAAAATCTTTAACCACAGAGTATATGAAGTGTTCACTGGCAGAAAAACTAAGTCCATTTATAAGTAAAATATGGATAAACAGGATTTTTTTTTTACAAAATTTACTTCTGGATTTTATCTTATGATCATAAACAAGCTTCTGTCCAAGTTTGGTAGAAATCCAAGATAGTTTAAGAAAGTTATTAAAATTTAAAAAACTTTAACCACAGAGTGAATATTTGTGGACGCCACCGACGGAATGTAGCATCGCTATGTCTCGCTTTTGCGACAAAAGTCGCAGGCTCGACAAAAATGAGGATATCAAATGGAAAATGCCACATTTGTCAAAATGACAACAACATAGAAACCATGCAATACTTTTTTTTAGTTGTAGTATATCACAGTTGATTTTAAACAAGCTCCAAGAAATACTTCATCAAACATCAAACATAGGAATAAATAATCCTATTGTTGAAAAAGACATGATGTTAGGTAAAAACACAGGAATACTCAAATATGATAATTTTCTAAACACAATTATCATATATTCTAAATGGACTCTATGGAAAATTAGCCTATTTAACTTACCATTTCCAAACAGTCACTGTGCGTTGCAGCAAACAATATCATTGGCAACAGATCGTCATCTTCTTTGCAATATACCAGAATTGAATTCACCCAGTGGACAAGGATATCTAAGTTAAAAATTTAAAATATTCATCTTCAAATTTAATATGATACAGAAAACTTAAAAGTAAACATGATTTCCAATAAAGTAAACACATTTCTCTAAGGCATCTTACAAAGACACAAAAGGTACCATGGGGTCAATTAAAAACAATAAGTAAAAGAAAGCAAAGAATACCACGGAAAACACAAACAAGAGGCTCTCAAGAGCCTGAATCGCTCACCTGTATTTCAGAGGAGAAGATTTTTAAATGTTAGCAAACTTGATGAACAAATTGTGTAAAATTGTCTTTAAAGGGCAATAACTCCTTAAGGGGTCAATTGACAATTATGGTCATATTAACTTTTTTGTAGATCTTACTTTGCTGAACATTATTGCTGCTTACAGTCTATATATCTCTATAATAATATTCAAAATAATAACAAAAAATTGCAAAATTTTGTTAAAACTACCAATTCGGTGGCAGCAACCCAACAATGGGTTGTTCGATTCGTCTAAAAATTTCAGGGCCGATAGATCTTGACCAATTAAACAAATTTACCCCATGTCACATTTGCTCTAAAAGATTTAGTTTTTGAGATATAAGCCAAAAACTGCATTTGACCCTTATGTTCTATTTTTAGCCATGGCGGCCATGTTTGTCGATGGATCAAAACTTCGGATACAATTTATAAACTAGATACCCTATGGAACATTTTGTTAAAGTTTGAAGGTATTTGGCCCATTAGTTTCAGAACAGAAGATTTTTGAAATAGTTTACGACGACAGACGACGACGACAGACGACGGACGACGACGGACGACGACGGACGCCAAGTGATGGCATAAGCTCACATGGGGCCCTTTGGGCCCCGGTGAGCTAAAAAACGATGCGAAATAAGAAATGCACAATCTACGAAACACTTCATGCACAAATTTGTCACATTATTAGTTTGGAAATTTAATCTTATATGTTGTGTAAAATGAAATAATGGTATTGGTTTTAGGTTAACCCCTTGGCCCCCAATCCCACCTGTAGTTGTGATGGCAACTGCCATTCTTCGACAGCCATTATGACCCTTGCGGCATTTGCATTATAGTATAGTTTACCCAAAATTGTTTTAATTAATCACTGGTAGCCTCTTTAAGCTGTATTTTGGACTAGTCATCTCTCGGAGGCAGATTTAGAGGGAAGCCCAGCCCCCCCCCCCCCCCCCCCCCCCCCCTTATGTGGGAAACATTGGTTGATTATATAGGGAATCACAGAAGCATGACAGGAGTGGTCCCCCTATTAGGAAGTCAGCGGGACCCCACTTATGAAAAATTCTAGATCCACCACTGTTGGAGATTAAAGATTGCTATGAAATCAGTGCTTTATAATTTTGGGTAGATAACTATAATGCTTTTTATGTACTCGTTTGGTTTATTACTTATTTTTTTTATACTTTCTCCATTTTTTCAAACAATGCATACTGAGATGAAAATGGGACATGCCATGAAATTAATTAAGCCATCAGTTGTTTTGTTTTATTATAATTACATTAATTTTTGGCTCGGGGGGCACTTTAATACCTAATTGATAGGGGGAGCCGCTTGGGTTCTGTTACCCCACCCTTTTCATATAATTTAGATTTTAAAAATGTATACCTTTTCATATATTGCGTAGGTAAAAATGTAACCTTTTCCCATATTGTTTGGGTTTTATGTGGTGTGTAATGTACGAATGGAATACCAAAGTGTCAAAAGAGAGAAAATTGGTTGATAAAAACACAACAGGGAACACCAAGAAAGATAACAGACAAAGAAGTTATGGAAACTTTACTGACCTTATCATATATTTCTGATAGTTTTCCCGATCTATTCACATATTTTTAAGCATGAAAAGGTGACCGATTTCAGCGGCATGTCCTATCACCTTGTATATAGGAAGTGCCCCCCTCCCCCCAAGGTTTTTGGTGAAGTGTACTGCCAAATGATGAGTATTCAGACTAAACTAAGTGTGTCCCGTTTAGTGCAGATTCATTTCTTTATTCTTATGAATAACAGTTAAGGCAAAACTGCATACAAACCTGACAAATAACTACTTGATATATATTTTTAACATTACCTGCAGATATTTGTACTAAAACACTATTGAACTGTCTAAAAAATCGGGAATTTTTTTAAATATAAAAAAGTGATTCTTGTCCCTTTAATGCCATGATATTTTATGTTTCTGATAATAACCTTGATACTGATTTTTTTTTATTAACAGGGCGACTTATCTTTCTCACTGTTATTTTTTCTTACTATGACATGAGGATTAGAGATTTTGATATTTTTTATTTAATTATTCCCTCTGTACAGTTATTGAAATTAAGTTTGGAAATCATTTCACTCCTAAAAATTACTATTTGGTGATTTTAGATATTCAAAAAATATATAAAAAGAACCTAAGGACAAAAATCAATAGATTTAGATTTTATTGAAACACAGATTTTTAGAAGTTAGAGGTTATTGCCATTGTGCAGGCAATAGTGTGGGTATTTGAAGTGAAGGTTCACAGTCATTTTTGTCACTGACAAGTTTTAGTTAAACTTGTAATATGTAATTGTGAAAACAGATTTCGAGGATTCAAATATGGTAAGTTGAATTATGAATATTATTAACTATTTTTATAGTTTTAACCAAATTGTAATCATAGCAAATGTTTGAGTGATAAGCATACCATGTGTAACATAATTGAATCAAGATAATTCATAGTTTGAGTGTTCAGATACAGTAGCTATAATAAATCATTATTCATTCACAAGTCATATCTTAAGTCATAAACTAACTGTTTAGACTTTTTATCATAAGTTCGGAATAAGATACGTTACATATTGGAAATTGATATGCAAATTTATTAAAATTCATGAACCTTGATCAGTTGTGGGCTTTAAAGAATCAAGGTTATTTTGGTATAATGATGTAGTAAAATGAGAACGTAGAAAACAAAAATAAATCGTTGAAAGTCAAAAATAATATCTTTATTACTATCAGAGAAGTACCTATTCTAGACCTACAAATGTTATTTGCAGGTAGCCTACGGTTATTGTAACCAGCAATGACTGTCAGACGGTTTTATAAAGATTTGTAATAATTTGTCTACTATTGCCTTAGGGGCTACCATTTGATTTATAGGGGGGGGGGGGGGGGAGGGGGGGGCTAGAAATTTGAAACTAGAGGCTCTCAAGAGCCTGTGTCGCTCACCTGACTCTACTTTGGTTTTAGAAATCATGTAAAGATAGATAAAAATCATAACAGATACCCAAATAATGATTCAGGCCAAATTTTGATTAATATTGGTCCCGTTATTTAATAAAATATCCTGGTGGCCATCTTGAACAGTAAATCGCCAACAAAGTAGCAACACTTGGTCAGCACTTCATAAGGAACATTCATGCCATGTTTGGTTTCATTCCATTCAGTGGTACTCTAAAAGAAGACATTTGTATGTATTTCATATAGGGTCCTATGTTAAACTAAGCCCCCCCTAGCGGCCATCTTGGATGATGGATCGACTGCCAAGTAACAACACTTGGTCAGCAACTCATAAGGAACATTCATGCCATGTTTGGTTCAATTCCATTCAGTGGTTCTCTAAAAGAAGACAATTGTATGTATTTCCCTTAGGGTCCTATGTTAAACTAAGTCCCCCGCTGTCGGCCATCTTGGATGATGGATCGGCTGCAAAGTAACAACACTTGGTCAACATCTCATATGGAACATTCATGCCATGTTTGGTTCCATTCCATTTATTGGTTCTCTAAAAGAAGACATTTTTATGTATTTCCCAAAGGGTCCTATGTAAAACTAAGTCCCCCGCTGGCGGCCATCTTGGATGATGGATCGGCAACAAAGTAACAACACTTGGTCAACATCTCATAAGGAATATTCATGACATGTTTGGTTTCATTCCATTCAGTGGTTCTCTAAAAGAAGACATTTGTATGTATTTTCCTTAGGTCCTTTGTTAACTTAAGTCCCCTGCTGTCGGCCATCTTGGATGATGGACCGACTGCAAAGTAACAACACTTGGTCAGCACCTCATAAGGAACATTCATGCCATGTTTGGTTTCATCCCATTCAGTGGTTCTCTAAAAGAAGACATTTGTATGTATTTCCCATAGGGTCCTATATTAAACTAAGTCCCCCACTGGCGGCCATCTTGGATGATGGATCGGCTACAAAGTAACAACACTTGGTCATTCCTCATAAGGAACATTCATGCCATGTTTGGTTTCATTCCATTCAGTGGTTCTCTATAAGAAAGCAATTTGTATGTATTTCCCATAGGGTCCTATGTTGAACTAAGTCCCCCGCTGGCGGCCATCTTGGATGATGGACCGACTGCGAAGTAACAACACTTGGTCAGCATCTCATAAAGAACATTCATGCCATGTTTGGTTCCATTCCATTCAGTGGTTCTCTAAAAGAAGACATTTTTATGTATTTCCCATAGGGTCCTATGTTAAACTAAGTCCCCCGCTGGCGGCCATCTTGGATGATGAATCGGCTACAAAGTAACAACACTTGGTCATTCCTCATAAGGAACATTCATGCCATGTTTGGTTTCATTCCATTCAGTGGTTCTCAAAAAGAAAGCAATTTGTATGTATTTCCCATAGGGTCCTATGTTGAACTAAGTCCCCCGCTGGCGGCCATCTTGGATGATGGACCGACTGCAAAGTAACAACACTTGGTCAGCATCTCATAAGGAACATTCATGCCATGTTTGGTTCCATTCCATTCAGTGGTTCTCTAAAAGAAGACATTTTTATGTATTTCCCATAGGGTCCTATGTTAAACTAAGTCCCCCGCTGGCGGCCATCTTGGATGATGGATCGGCTACAAAGTAACAACACTTGATCAGCACCTCATAAGAAACATTCATGCCATGTTTGGTTTCATTCCATTCAGTGGTTCTCTAAAAGAAGACATTTGTATGTATTTCCCATAGGGTCCTATGTTAAACTAAGTTGCCCGATGGCGGCCATCTTGGATGATG